GCTCCATCATTTCCCTCAATCCTCGCGGTCTCAAGAGGCTACTGACTACTCGTATGTCAGGTTTTAGGCCTTCCAAGAAGTTCCCTCTCAGTCCTGCTGCAGAAATCCCCATCAACCTTTCTGACAAGAGCTCGAACTTCTCCCGGTATTCCATAAATCATTCCCTTCTGAGTCAGAGCATAGAATTGTTCTTGAAGGTCTCCTTCCCGAACGGCTTGGAAACACTCCAACAAGCAATACTTAAACTCCTCTCATGAGTGCATTGGATACCTTGCCTTCATCTATTGGAACCACACTAAAGCCTCCCCTTTAAGCATAATTCGGCTGCCATGAGCGTTTCTTTCTTAGTCAACCCGTTGATTGCAAAGTATCGCTTCACCTGATACACTCATCCATGTGCATATTTCCCTTTGAACATTAACATCTTCAGTTTCCTAACTCCCCACCCCAACATCCTCTCCCTCCGGAATTTCCCCCCATGTATCTAGGGTGAAACTCCCTCCTGTGATATCAACATATCCCACTCTTGATTCCCTCCTTCCTCCATCATACTCTTTTGTGCCATTTCCAACATCCCTTCTCCAATTTTCGGCCAGCCCCCCTCCTCTCAGAGCCCTAGGGGGACTCTCTTGTAGGTAAATGTTGGCTTCTTCATTGTTTTCTCGCTTGATCTCCTTCCCCTTTAACATGGTCAGGGATTCCCTGATCAACCCTTGGTTAGGGTTTCCAACTGGAGCAGTCGGCACGGCCTTGGATGGCATCTCCATGAGTTTTTTTCATCATCTCTCGCATTTTACCTATGCCTTCAAATCCATCATTCATTCAACTTTCAATGGAAGAAAATATACCTCCATGATAGCAAATATTTCTTACATTCCCGATCGGATTTGCTCTGCTTCTTCTTCTAACATATCAACTTTAGATAGGTGAAAGAAATACAAATAAGGGTTGCTCTTACAAAAATCAAAGAAAAAACGAGCAAAACACAAATTTAATTTATTTTTTGAGAGGTAGATCGCCTCTCCCAAATCCTAGACGTCGCTAGGAACACTATACGAAGAAAGTAAACAGTAGTCAAACAAAAACAATCATAAAAGAAAACAAATCCTAGGTTTCCCCTCTAATAGAATCCTCTCACAAAACCTCAAAAACTTACCTTCCAAACTCCTTTAACTCTTCCTTATTGCATCGGTGATTATGGTCTTAGCGGACCCCACCCTTTCCTTCCCCTCTTTTGCGGCTCCTTCTGTCTGCTCCCCTTCCCTTCACCAATACCGGCCTGCCTGTGGGCCGGTTTCACTGCTTTCAGCCAGTCCAGGGTGGACCGACGCGTGCAAGGGCTGAGAGGGCATAACAAAATATCACTATTTTAACTTTTTAAAAGGTGAAGAACACTTTCATATACAGGTAAGCTGACATGTACACGTAAAAAAATAGTAGTTTGGGTGTTAGGTATGTTTAGGGTTTAGATGTAAATGCATAGGATTTAAATGGCATGTATGTGAAATTTTCAAAAATAACTTGCTGAAAAAAAAATTTTGAGCACTCAATTATTTTTTGCAGGTGAGCATAGTGAGCCAGGAGCCTGTCCTCTTCAACTGCTCAATAGAAGAAAATATTGCTTATGGCTTAGATGGAAAAGCGAGCAGCACAGACACAGAAAATGCATCTGTGAGCACCAACTTTCTATCCCATCCTATAATCGTACATTCAACATATTCTTATGTGCTTACATATCTGACACCTAAACCTTCATATTTGCTTATGACATTAAAATGTTATGAGTATAAATATCATACTTTAGGTGTTAGATATGTATATATGTAAGAATTGTGAGGTATGTATGTAAATTTTCCTGATCTTTCTCGTGCTTTATCTATTGTCAACTAAACACCAAACCTAACTTCCAATGCAGAAAATGGCAAATGCGCATGAATTTATCTCCAAATTCCCCGAACAATACAAAACATTTGTTGGTGAAAGAGGGATCAGACTTTCCGGAGGCCAGAAGCAGAGGATAGCTATCGCGAGGGCTCTACTGATGAACCCGCGAGTTCTTCTCCTAGATGAGGCTACGAGCGCTCTCGACGCCGAGAGCGAATATCTTGTTCAGGTTTGTAGATGTTGCAGGGGTGTCAAAAACTCGACCAAACTCGACTCAAAAAATCATAATTTGGGTTGACCTGAATATTTTTTGGATTGGATTCAGTTCAGGTTGACTTATGAGCACAAAATTAACTCAAAATTAACCTGCTAACCCAAAATTGATCCGAAATTACTTAAAATTGGCCTGAATTTGACCCAAATAACTATTATGTTCTATGTTATACGTGATCAAACGGTCGGGTGATACTAAGCGGGTTGACAAACTCGTTTAGTATTTTTATTCAATTCAATTAATTTTGAGTCGGGTCAATTTCAGATAAGAGACCGAACCTTACCCATATAATGAAGTTAATTGTTTAGCTATTGACCCCCAACCATGTGGCATCTGTGCAGGATGCTATGGATTCCTTAATGGAGGGAAGAACGGTGCTCGTGATAGCGCATCGGCTGTCAACGGTTAAGAGTGCCGACGTCGTTGCAGTCGTGTCGGACGGACAGATAGCGGAAAGTGGGACTCATGATGAGTTACTAAGCCAGAATGGGATCTACAATGCACTTGTAAAGAGGCAGCTACAAGCAGCCAAAGTTGAAATTTAGATTTATGCTTCTCCTGGGCAGTACATGCAAAAAAGCAGCAGTTATTTTTCTGCTGATTCTTAAAGGCTGAGAACTGCTTAAAGGCTGAGAACTGGTTTAGATGACTTATTGGAGAAGACATAATGGATCTGAAAGCCCAAATGGGAGATGGCAATTTTTTTTGGGTTAGACTAATTTTTTTTATCAAATATAGTGAGTTTTATGATTATCAAATTTATTTATGATTGATTAGTCATTTATTGTATTTATGTTTAAAAGGATTTGATGGTTTAAGAGCTTTTGGTGAGATTAAATTTGGATCAGATATCTGATCAAGATGAGGAGCTGTGAACCTTGAATTGTAAATTAGTTTGTTTCTGAGGAAGCAATGTTAGCCTGCTGTTATGGGTTAGGGTTGTGAAACACATATCATGTCATAAAAAATTCCATCCAAGTAGAAAATTGGTGGAATTATCATATCACAAAGATCTATAGCGAATATCTACTAATGATTTGCTAAATTTGTCTTATTTCATTTTGTTAGGTTTGAAGTAGAGTGAAAATAATATAATAATTTATATGGGAGGAGACCGGTGGGCAATGGACGACTGCGGGGGTCGACATGCGGTTGGGGGTGGCGACGAGCAACAGTTTGTTGATAGCATTTTATAGTGATTCAAATTTGATCAAATAGATTGAATTCTAAACTTAGTTAAAATGAATTGAATAGTGAATTGAAATTTTACATTGTACTTGCACTTATTCGTATCAAACGCATAATTTCCTCAAATATCTGTAAATGAATTATAGTGCACCACAAATCCTTCCAACGAAACAACCACTAAAAAAACCGATCAGTGGTTCAATTAGGATACGATTGACCTCAATATAAGTTTGTATTGAAATGCATCATATGTGCTCCGATGAACAATATCTGTAAATGAATTATAGTGCACCACAAATCCCTAAAAAAACTGGTTCAATTAGGATACGACTGACCTCAATATAAGTTTGTATTGAAATGTATCATATGTGCTCCGATGAATAAGAAAACAATTACAGTAACATAAAACTAATAGAAGTCATATGTCTTACATTAAACAAATAAATAATAAAATAAAGAAAAATGAAACACAATTTCAACAACATTGAGTTGTTTTCCCCACTACAACATTGAATTGTTTTCCCCACTACAACTTAAACAAAATAAAATAAAAAGAATTTTTGCAATTTCGAGCACAACTATAACTCAGACTCAAGATACCAGTGAGGCTCCCTAAACTTCTAGCAACCTTGCATAAATGTAAGTAATGGCAAGTGAATGCAAGTGACAGAGAGATGCTCTTAATGATAGAAATTGACAGGCAACAAGCTTGTCTATGTGAGTGCGTGGCTAGGATTTTTGGGAAGTAGAGTTAGGATAGAAGAAGAAACCAATTTACCAAGTATTAAATATGTGAGCGACTCAAAAGAATGAAAGCAGAGAGAGCAGGATGCGCTGAAGAATAGACACAAATCTGTTGAAAATCAGATCGAACAACCAAACGTGAGGCCAGACCGCCAGAGGCATGATTCCTCAACCTCACCTAAAGTTAAGGATTTTGAAAAGAATAGATTTCAAAAGAAACTAAAGGAATGGTAGAGCGATTGGGAATGGAATGGAACTTTTAGATTTAGTATTAAGCGATTAACTCCGCAACATTATCTTCAGTCCGAACATAGCCAGCTCATATCCACCGTCTGATCCATAATACAATAATAAAAAATCTATTTTTAATTTGATCTCAAATCCGACCCTGCCTCGAATAACTGAACTTGTTTTTTTATCTGATCTCAAGTAAAACTCAAATTCAAATCAATTTTCAAGCGATCAACAATCTTTGAGCAAAATTCCTTTTTACTAATATAGATGATATTGTGTTATTTTGACTTTAGATGTTTTAGAGGAAAATAATTGAACAATTCAATTTAAAAAAATAAACGCTGATAAAAGAAAAAAAAAATTTGTTGAGCCAAATAATTATATTTTCTACAAACTAATTTATAAACTATGATGAGTAAAATCTCAAAATAGTCCCACCATGGGTTTATCTTAATCCTTATTTCTTAAAATGTGAAATTGGAGTTGAAATAATTTATGGTGGGAATATTTTAGCTTATATTCAAAGAAACTTGAAGACTAACTTAGCATGTTATGCTTTTAAACCCCACTGGTCACTTCTCAAATTATTACAAATAAATTTATCATCCTGAAGCAAAAAATATTACTAATATCCAATACCAAGAGTTAATATCAAGACTAATTATATAGAAAATAATAATAAATGCAAGTAATAAATAAAAAGTTACATTTTACTTTTTTTTAATTAAAAAAGTGGTATTTTTTATCCATAATATATATATTTATATGTGTGTGTTTGTGTGTGTCGCAAGCCGTGGCATGTTGGTTGGTGGGTTTATCTCGAATAATTAGACACATAGCGCAGGCTCTCATCATGGGGCCTAGTGCATGGGAAATCGGTGTTTGGGACTCTGTCAAATACCGATTTCCTTTTTGAAATATATGTATATGTCATTGGTACCTTAATTATCCTTACAAATCTTTGACATGAACAAAAACCTCTCTCTTTGCCCCGCTTCCCCAATATTCCCTTTTTTTTGCAGAGAACTATATATCAAACTAAATAAAGTCAGGATATTTTCAGCCAAAAAAAAAAAAAAAAAATGTCGTAAGAGTCCTCTCATAGGTCATGAAAAAATATTACATTTGGAGTTTTGACATAAGAACTCCAATTAAAATTTGACGTGTCCTTGTCTAAAAAACGTTTTGACATAAGAACTCCAATTAAAATTTGACGTGTGTCCTTGTCTATAACCATCCGTGAGAAGCCTAAAGTCCATCCGTGAGATCTTCAACATAACCATGTTGTATTCTATAGCTTTCACATCGAAATGTTTATTTGGATGTTTTTTTACTTATTACAATATGATTGTACTGAAGAAAAACCTCAAGTACAATCATGTTGTACTCCACGACCGGGCTATGTCCAGACTCCGGAGATAATATTTTCTCCATAGATCATACATATTGAACAAACTATTTAAAGAATGCACATTTGTCCATAATGAACTCTAACATGAATATTTTAGGGAAAATTACATACACACCATACAATTCTTATGTGTTTACATATCTAACATCTAAAATTGGATATTTACACTAATAGCACTTTGGCTTCATAAATCTATGCATGAAAAAGGTATAATTCACCTTTTAAAAAGTTAATAATAGTAGTCTTTTTTATTTGGCACTAAAAGTTCTTAGTGAAAAAATTGTAAATAAGAAAGTTTAGGTGTTAGATATATAATTACATAAGAATTATGTGGGTATGTATGTAAATCTTCCAATATTTTAATGAAGAGTAGTTGTTCTCTCCTCAATGGCAGAAAAATTTAACATGTAAAGAAGAAATCTACACCAAAGTCTCCATGAACTGCTTCATATTCTTCACATCCTCTTCAGAATCAGAATACTTAATCGGCTTGAACAACTTCCACAAACCAGTTGGATGCTTCAACTTCTTCTTCCTCACATCATTTAACTCCACATTTCTCATCAAACCCCCAAAAATCTTCTCACACTCAGGATAAGGCTTCACAAAAAAGTTGTAGAACTCTCTCCTACTCATCCTCACAAAATGCTTGAGTTCCACCTCCATCTCGAGCGCACCCTTCGATCTGAGAAGCTCCACGACTCGTAATCTCGGAATGATCTGCTTCTCTAAATTCAAGCCCAAGTAACTCGGGAATTCCACGAGGTGTTCGATGCTAAATCCTAACGGCTCCAATAAAAATTGTATCTTTTTCTCCAACTCATTTGGCGAGTACAAGATCGATCGTGGCTCAACGTGGAGGATCTTGAACGCATCCCTTTGGGTCAATCCATGGCGGCATAATAGGTCAATTCGAGTTTTTACGTCGATGGCGGCGAAAAGGCGGCCTCTTGAGAGAATTCTCTCTTTGATTGGAATTCGACATTTGAGGCCTTCCAGCAAGTTTACACAGCGTGAGAGCTCTCCAAGTTGCAGGTTGAGGAGGAGACTAGGGTTTTCTGTTAGGAGATTTCTAACTTCGATTCGATCGAATCCTAGATCAAAAAATTCAGAGAAGAGTGGTCTCAACTTGCAATCAATGCTGAATGCTAAGAATTCCGGGTAGGAGTGGCATACTCCATTTATTTCTTCCTGTGGGCACAGCTCAAAATTATGTTCCAAGATCTAAACTTGCTTGAATTTTAATTGATTCGAAATTGAAATCTACTTGTTTTGACTAAAAATTTGTTTTTTTTTTTTGAATAAGTTTGATTCCATCCAAGACAGACTCAATAAATGTAAATATGAAAAATTGGGGCATTTATATACATAGCACACAATTCTTGTGCAAGAATTGTGTGTATAAATATGCAAATATGAAAATGTAGGAGCGAGATATGCATAAACAGAAGTAAGTTTTTATTTTAAAAGATCAGAATAAGGCAAATTTTATAAAAATACCTCAAAATGTAACTGTATGTATAAATTTTACGATGAACCCTAAACTCTAGAAGAGATCACAATCTTACCTGTTCTTTAATCCCAGCGGTTTTCTTCAAGAACTCGATTCTACTGCGGACGTCGATCCCGTCATTCATAAACGCAGCAGGAAGCACCTCGAAAACCCTAATCACCGTCCCATCGCTGAGTCCCGCAATTTTCATTCGCCGCAAACTCAGAATAAAGTCTTCGGGCTCGATCTTGAACCTTGCGGATTGTTCCAGAATCATCTGAGTCGTAGAAGCAGATGCGGTGTTTGAGAGGCTCAATTCGGAGAAACCCTTCTTCCATTTTGTAAGAAATTCGAGGTCTAGGGTTTTGGGGCAGGCATGGATGACCGAGAGGAGAGAACTTTGTGAGAAACCCAGAGATTGGAGGAGTGAGATCGACTTGGAGAAGAGGGGTTTCGGAGTAAGAATGGATTCTTCTGGATGAATTCGTGGAGGTGGGAGGAAGAGGGGAAAATGTTGTTCCTGAGGAGATTCGGGACGGAAATTTCGGAATGGTTTGAGAAGAATCGAAGTTCTTGATGTGCTGATCTGTGAACAAGGAGGTGGAGAGATCGTCGGGCTAACGATGCCCTAATCGCCATTTTTGTGAGAGTGAGAGAGCTCGAGTGACTGAAGAACAGGAAGTATGAACCTCATACACCACAGTTGTCGGCGAGGACACAGAAAATGACCTAATAATCAATGTGTCTTATCATCTTGTTGCAATCAATCGGTACATCATGCCGAGAGATTCGAATGGCAGATCACACCAATAATTCCGAACAATCGGGGCTCAAACAAAAAATTTTTATTATGACTAATCGGTTGACATATCTTTATCACGACGGAGGAGATCAACATTCGACCAGATGCCTCAGCCGACCAACCCATGGTGCGGTCTCCACACAACCGGTCACCTCAATCGATCGAATTTGAGCAAGTTGACTGGCCTAATTGCCGTCATACTAAATTCAAATTGTTATAGCCGTATAATATGAAATCCATACGATTAAGTAAAACGACAATTGTATTAAGAGCAGTTTTCATGATTACTCTCTCTTTTTTGTAATTGTACAAAGTATGCCTCTGTAAATAGGCTATAAACAAATGGACTTTTATAAATTCTCTATGCGGGAAACTCCTTATACTCTTTCTCCCTTCCTTTCTTCACTCAATCCTAAATTTTAGGGGTGTGTTCACAAAAGACAATTCAGTATTCAACAAAAGTAAATCTAGTCATGAATTAAGTGTAAATCCAGCCAAATATCACAAAAGTAAAAAATTAAATTCAATACTCCGTTGAATTGAAATTTTTCGTGTTCCGTCTTTTCTTCCCTCGCTCCATCTCTTTTAGTTTGATTTAGTGAATCTGATTGTAATATAAGATTTTCTTTTTGTCGTCGCTCTCGAGTACATCTTTCTTGCACTGAGGATCGGATTTAGTAAATTTGACAAATCATATTTAATGAAATTTAGGCTGCAGCCTTAATTAATTAGATATAGATATAGATAATTTGTATATTAACATGCAATTATATACCTCTTTTATTTTATACATTTAATATATAAATTTTACTATTTATTTATTTAACATTTTAATATTATAATTACATCAAAATATATACCTATAAATATATTTTTATTTTAAAAAATTAATATTAATGATAATTTAATGACTTTTTTAAGGATTTGGATTTTATACAAATAAATATTAATTTTTATCTCTTTTAGTTTGATTTAGTGAATCTGATTGTAAAATGGATATAAGATTTTCTTTTTGCCGTCGCTCTCGAGTTCATCTTTCTTGCACTGAGGATCGGATTTAGTAAATTTGACAAATCATATTTAATGAAATTTAGGCTGCAGCCTTAATTAATTAGATATAGATATAGATAATTTGTATATTAACATGCAATTATATACCTCTTTTATTTTATACATTTAATATATAAATTTTACTATTTATTTATTTAACATTTTAATATTATAATTACATCAAAATATATACCTATAAATATATTTTTATTTTAAAAAATTAATATTAATGATAATTTAATGACTTTTTTAAGGATTTGGATTTTATACAAATAAATATTAATTTTTTTTTATATTAGATATATAAATTTATAAGAAATGTGTGACATAAGTGTAAATCAGATAACATAATTTTATATAGTGCTTCAAAATCATCCAAATTAAATTAGGTGATTGATTTAGCCAAGTGGATAATAAATGGTAACCATAATGATTATAGAATAATCAATCATAATATTGGATCCTTATAAAGATAATGAACTTTTGGTTTTATGTCTACACTTTGTCTAGAAAGTGAACTCCTAATGCAATATGGTAGCCTACTAATGACACTTTAAAGTTGTGAGCTTCCAAGGATGACTATGTTGTTGCAGTAGATGATTGATCATAGTTAGTCAATGCACGCATTAGATTTACGAGATCAATGAAAAATACATTTATTTCAATATTTTCTCTATAAAGAATGTAGCTTCAAAAAAACTTTATTTTTATTTTAGAGATCAAGATTTCTTTAAAGAGAGCTTTAAAGGTTAACTATATTATATGTCTATCCATGAATACTCTCGATTAAGGAGTAATTATCGTGTTTGAGCTTGAAAAAATTGTAGGTATGTTCAGCCATATCAACATTTTTATGAGTCCTATGTGGCTTTAATAGAGGATGAAAGTGTAAAAAGGACCTAGGAACTAAGGAAGGAAGGCTCAAAAGAGTCATAATGGATGTAAGAAAAAACTTACAGCTCCATCTCAACCGAAGGAAGATACTTATGATTGGACACATGGTGTCATGCTGTAGCTCTTGACCAGGTAAGAAGAGAGAATTGAATATATAAAATGGAGGACTAACCTACCAGATAGTATGATGAGCCCAAATAAAATTCTCATTGATGCTCTTATTGAGTCATGTGGCTAGCTGAAGATTCTTGTTAGTAATTATTAATTATTTCATCCAATAAGACCTCATAAATCAAGGATATGGACCTAATCTTAAGCATATAGATTGAATTTATACTCAATATCCAAACACAACTTATGGTATCACACGAGATGTGGCTATCTAGGCTCTAAGGCTACTAGATGAAAAGAAGGACACATTGAACATGTGGTGGAGAGGACACTCAAAATGGGACGTAACTTGGTTATATGAGATCAAGAGACCTAGAAAATCTCTCAATGTGGTAGTAAAGATGCATAAGACATTAAAAAGATGAGGAAAATATGATGAAGAACACAAATATCTTCTTAATATATTAGAAAAAATATATAAGGACGTGTAAGATATAGAAACTAGGACTTAAATGCTTGAACATATATGATGAAGAACTTAAATATCTCCTCAAGATAATGAAGAAGATAGAGGGATGTATAAAGTGAACAATAAGACTCACAACTTCATCCTATGTAATAAAGAAGTGTAAGTATCTCTCTAATATGATGGAGGAGATGTGAAGAAATGTGTAAGCTAGGGTGTGTTAAAAAATACTAAAAAAATATCCTTAATATGATAGAAATATTGTTGTTTTTTTAAAAATTTGTGATGGAAAGTTGTTTTTCAACCTGTCCCATTAAAATACAATGGTTGTAAGAAAGATGTTTTATTTTTTCAAAAAAAATATATAATTTATAATTCTCAGTGCAGTTTTCTAAAAAATTTACTTTCTTCGCCACCGTCTTACAACTAATTTAAAAAACTTCAACCACCCTAAAAAGACCCGACGTGTGATAACTGTCAAAAAACTATTGTCTTACTTTTTTTAAGAAAAAAAATTATAATATTTATTGCAACTTCCTAAACACGACTATTTCTTTAAACATGTGCAATTGCCCCAAATAAATGCAACTGTTTTTAACTACAGTCTTTTTAGAACGCAGACAAAATATAATTTTTAACAAACAAGAAAAACTGAAGTGCGGCGCCGCACCGCCGCCCCAAAGGCACCCTAAGTCGAATGTAAAAGTGAAATAATTGGTCAACCTCAAACCTAGCAGATGAAAAATGGCAAAAATATCCTAAAATTGACTAGATGCATATGAAACTAAACTATCTAAAACTTTACTTAATCATGCAAAATATAAGTATTTATAAAATGTGAAATTTTTTTAAATAAAGAAGTAAAATTATTATGCTTTCTAAATTTAACAAAAATATTTTTATATTTAATAACAACTATATTAACACTGATGTAAAGCTCAAGAAAAAAAATTCAATAATTTAATATATAACCAATTTTTTAAAGATGTCATTAACATTTGGGAGTCAAATTTGCTTGCCCTGAACTTCTAGAACATGACTTCGTGTGCGGTCCGAACAACATCAGTGGAACATTTAGGGAAATAATATTTTGCCTCTATCTCAAAAAGTTACGATGAAAAATCTATACGACATGACCCAGCTAACGATTTGTTTGTGACAGCTTTCGATCTGCTTTGTGTTTCAGACCATCACCACAGTTCTAATTGATGAACTGTTTTTTTTTACTATTTTTTAAAAACTTTTGTGATGGAAAACTTACTTTTCTTCACTACAATTACATAATTCTCACTGTCAGAAAACTATTTTCTAACTTTTTATATAAAAATTAAAATATATATAATAGTTATTACAACTTCATAAGTTGCTTCTTTAGGAGTTAATGGCTGCTGCTTCAAGCTAGAAGTTGATGACAGATACATCACTTTCCTTATACTTGAAAAAATATATTTCCCTTTTCAAAGTTTCAAATAGTGATATTTTGATGTGTTGTTACAATTTGAATTACACATGTAAAAAACAAAATTTAGATACCATATAATGTAAATAGACAAAAATTGTCGTATAAGTTTGTTTGGGCAGAAAACTATTGTCTTACTTTTTTTAAGAAAAAAAATTATAATATTTATTGCAACTTCCTAAACACGACTACTTCTTTAAACATGTGCAATTGCCCCAAATAAATGCAACTGTTTTTAACTACAGTCTTTTTAGAACGCAGACAAAATGTAATTTTTAACAAACAAGAAAAACTGAAGTGCGGCGCCGCACCGCCGCCCCAAAGGCACCCTAAGTCGAATGTAAAAGTGAAATAATTGGTCAACCTCAAACCTAGCAGATAAAAAATGGCAAAAATATCCTAAAATTGACTAGATGCATATGAAACTAAACTATCTAAAACTTTACTTAATCATGCAAAATATAAGTATTTATAAAATGTGAAATTTTTTTAAATAAAGAAGTAAAATTATTATGCTTTCTAAATTTAACAAAAATATTTTTATATTTAATAACAACTATATTAACACTGATGTAAAGCTCAAGAAAAAAAATTCAATAATTTAATATATAACCAATTTTTTAAAGATGTCATTAACATTTGGGAGTCAAATTTGCTTCTCTTGAACTTCTAGAACATGACTTCGTGTGCGGTCCGAACAACATCAGTGGAACATTTAGGGAAATAATATTTTGCCTCTATCTCAAAAAGTTACGATGAAAAATCTATACGACATGACCCAGCTAACGATTTGTTTGTGACAGCTTTCGATCTGCTTTGTGTTTCAGACCATCACCACAGTTCTAATTGATGAACTGTTTTTTTTTACTATTTTTTAAAAACTTTTGTGATGGAAAACTTACTTTTCTTCACTACAATTACATAATTCTCACTGTCAGAAAACTATTTTCTAACTTTTTATATAAAAATTAAAATATATATAATAGTTATTACAACTTCATAAGTTGCTTCTTTAGGAGTTAATGGCTGCTGCTTCAAGCTAGAAGTTGATGACAGATACATCACTTTCCTTATACTTGAAAAAATATATTTCCCTTTTCAAAGTTTCAAATAGTGATATTTTGATGTGATGTTACAATTTGAAGGTTACAAATGTAAAAAACAAAATTTAGATACCATACAATGTAAATAGATAAAAATTGTGGCATAAACTTGTTTGGGCAACTGCAGCTTATTGAATAATTTGTTGATAAGTTGATGAAAAATAATCTACTTATAAGCTAGGTGCGGCGACAATCATAAATTTTTTTTTTTTTTGAAAAGTCAAACCGCTGCCAGAAAACTGTCACCACACTTAGATAGATACAATGTGAAAACACTGCTTTCAATGTTTTTAAAATGCATAAGCTGTCAAAACACAGTTCACTCAAAAAGGCCAGGTGTGTTTTCAAAACGTCGCCACACCAAATAAGCCTGCCCCAAACGGACCAGAATATAATTATAGTTTATAAAATGGACAAAGAGGTTCTCTTTTAACAACCCTTTAAATATATTAACCATGCTGAAAAAACAACTACAGAAACATCATGTAAATTTCTCTAAATTTAAATATGATTTAATCAACCAGTGCTCACAAAAATGAAAAATTACAGGATAGCTAAGCTCAATAATTTTAAAAATGAAAATAAAACATAAAATGATTCTCAGATTCCAACCTAAACTCAAATGCTAATGACACATTACAAAGCTTCAGTCAGCAGAAGCCAAACCCAGATCTCTGAAAAAGGTAAAAAATGCTGCAAAAGTTCAATGTGATTCACCGAGTCGCAAGAGGTCACTGAGGATCACCGAGTTGCAAGGGATCGATGTGATTCACCGATTCGCAATGAATTCCTGCATTGCTTGAACACCGTCGTCAGCTGCTTTGTTGGATTGGATAATGCTTATTGCACTTGCAACATTAGCCTGAAGGGCACAATTTCAGATGTCACCATTTTATGTTTCTATAGAAGATGATGCAAGTCCTAACTTAGGGGTGTAACTGAGTTAAGCCGATGCGGGATCAACTTGATAAGTGACCCGTGAATTAAGCTTGATAAGCAAACAGATCAAGCTCAAGTCAGCCAGAACTCGACCGGTAGCTCGTAAGCCGGCTCAATTAAAAAATAATAGATAAAAATTATACTCCAAATAAATTAAAAATTCAAAAATTTATCGATAGTTTACCTTTTATAACAAGTGATTTTTTATTAATTATCTCATAAATATTCATTCTATTTGCCATTTTATTATTACACTAGATTGAATTAAATTTATTTTCTCTCTTTCATAATAAACATCAATAGGCTCAAACTTCTAAAATTAAGCTGAAGCTTGAGTTCAAACTTCATTAATTAATCAAGTCAAACTCAAACCCAAGCCATGGGTGACTCGAGTTCGACTCGACTCGTACACACCCCTATCCTAAACTCATGAATGCAGCTAAGGAGTTTACTAAGGAAGAATTTTCCAAAAGGTATAATAAAGAAATAACAAGCATGTCTCCAATTGAAGCTTGGTGAAAATTTTCAAGAAATCATTGAACATAATCATCCAACATCATGGTGTTCATTTATCATAAGATTGTTTCTCTCTTTTTTTTTTCTTTTTTTTTTCTATATGATAATTAGCCTAAATACGACTTAGTCTTTCCGACTTAGTCTTTGTAAGTTTGTTTACTTGATGAGTCGAACACAATGACTTTGACTTGTTTGATTTTGTTTGGCTTGATAATGATATGATAATATTTATAAATACATGTGTGAGTGAGAGTTCATGCATTCTTATATGTATTCATTGTTTGTACATATGCATATGAAAAATAAATTAAGGGCATATGCATACATACCATCCAATTTCTATAAATTTACATATCTAACACTAAAACTTTCCTTTCTACTTTTACACCACCCAAATCTTTCATATCACATCAAAATAACACTATTTAAAATTAAAAAAAAAATGAAATACACATTTTCATACATAGGTAAGGTGGCATGTACAAAAAAATTGAAGTTTAGACATTAGATAAGGAAATACATGGGAATTAAGTGGTATAGGTGGCATGTATATAAAAAATTGAAGTTTGGATGTTAGATATGTAAATATATGGGAATTAAGTGGTATGCAAGTAAATCTTCCTATAAATGAGCACACTCCTGTTCTAACATGTATGTCTGTTTATATGGATAAATACATATATAGCTGATAACATGCATGTTCTGTAACTTATTTAAGACTTATTTTATACTATTAAATAAACTTTATGCTTACAAATAGCTCCTGCATAGATTTACAAGTAAACAAGTGGCCATCTTTGATGCTGTTCGGTTATATGGGAGTAAATTCATGGTCGCAAATATACGAGAATTCCACAAATAGGTCAAATATGGCATGCTATATATTAGAACTTGACACACACATACACACAGGTCATGGGACAGCATCTCAGTGGTGATGTTAAAATGAGTGGACTTGAATAGGTGAAAAGAGAATTTCTCTTAATTATAAAGGTCCAACATCATATGCCTCATTTATCAACTTTTAATAAAAGGGACATTTGCATACATAGCACACAATAATTGTGTATTTATATATATATCACACCTAAAGTTTCATATTTATCACATCAAAAATAGCACTATTATATCTTTTTAAAAGTGAAATGCACATTTTCATCCATGGTTTTAAAGCATTAAAGTGTACAAATGTAAATATGAAAGTTTAGGGGTGAGATATGTAAATACATAAGAATTGTGTACTACATATGTAAATTTTCCTTTGTCATATTTAATAAATAAAGTGCCTAAACATAAAAACTGCATGAAGAGTTTCCATGAAGATTCAACACAATATGACTAGTTTATCTACTGTAAGGTGCCAATTTATCAGAAGGAAGGTTAAAAGTAAAACTTACCCTCCAGTTCCCTAATTTGAATCGAAGTGCTTGCCATTGTGATAGGCCAAAAACCCGCTCTGTTCGCCGACTGCATGAGACAAGAAAACAATCTTATTTCAGGACGATTGGATTAAAAAAGTAGCTTTTGTCAATCTAGCCTCATTATTTCAGAAGCTCAAGCACATTAAAATGAGAGAAAAAAAAAAGATTTACAAACATGCCACCTTATCTATGCATAAAAAGGAGTATTTCACTTTTTGAAAGCTTAAATGATGGTATTTTTGATATGATATGAAAAAATTGGGGTGATATAAATATGAAGAGTAAAGTTAAGGTGTTAGATATGTAAATGGATAGGAATTGGGTGATATGTACGCAAATGCCCCATGAGTAAAATATGTAGATAAGCGTAAATAAGCAACTATCGGACCTGACAAGTACAGCTTGATTCATCTGATCCATCTTACAGTCCAGAACTTTGGAAATTATTGCTTTAACAACCCAGTATTCTACCTCATCATCCTTGATCTGTAAAAAAAAATGCTTAGCAATTTGTAAGAAACTAAACAATAGAGGAAAGAGAAAACTCAAGTTACCCGAAGAGCCTCCGCCACTTCGGCATAAGGAATTTCGCCAGATTCATTACAACTCAAATCTATCAAAGACATCAATCTCATCTTTGTAATGCAATCCTCATGGACCAGACCTATACGGAACCTTAAGATCAATAAGGTTACTCTATATAAATCTGCAAATAGTAATTATTGATTATACCATAGCTCTTGAGTAAGGCTGAATTTCCTGCATGGAAATCTAAGTAGGCATCGAGTCTACCAGCCAGAAAAATCTCTAATAGCTGATAAACCAAAGCATATTTCTCATCTTTCTCCAATTGAGCAATGGCAGGCATATCTGGCAGGTCACACTGCAAGTAAATTAGGAATACAAAATTTGTTGCGACGAAAGACCGTGATTAAAATAGTTAACAATGGAATTAAATCTTAGGAAAATTTAAATATATGCCACAAAATTCTTTTGTATTTACATATCTAGCACCTAAAGTTTCATATTTACACTTATGACACCTTTGTGCCTTATGACACCTTCGTGTCATGAAAAGGTGTATTTCACCTTTAAAAAGTAGTAATAGTGGTATTTTTTATGTGATTTTAAAGATTAGAGCATAATGCATGTATATGTAAATGTTTAGGTGTTAGACATGTAAACATATAAGAATTATGTTTTATGTACCTAGATGCCCTTAAATCTTAAAATAGGTCCTTGACTATTCTTGTGTCACTAATTAAGTCCTTAAATATCACATTTCTCCAAAGTAGCCCCTTGATTATACAAAATTAATCCAAATTGATCCCTCATGTAGAAATTGTGATACAAAGTCAATACCAATTTAAACATTGAGCCCAAATTTGACCCCCGTAGACCATTTTTTTATCAATTTTATGAAGTTGAGAGACTAACTTGAAAAAAAAGTAATGTTCTGGGACTAAGTTGGCTCATATAAATAGTAAGGGAGGCCATTTTGAAGTGAACAAGTTAAAAAACATTATTACATATTTGGGATTATCAACATATACCAGCTATTTGGATTGGTAAAATTGATAGCTATCACACACTATAGAACAGCAGAGAAAATATGTTGTTGGAACACAAAATAAAGCAAAAGAAAATAAATCAGGGCTTCTCCGCATGAATTGCAATTAAAGCAATGCTCTATAGATTGCTTGGTTTTTAAAACTCATTTTTTTAAGATAAATAACATATATGGGAGAGGCAAAGTTTCTACAATTCATGATAGAAGCTTTTGTCAATCTAATTGTTGCATTATTTAAGTATCAAAATGAAAGATAAAATAGTTTATCATAAACAACAACACAAAAACTTATCCGGAAAATAAACTTCAAGAACCCATATAACTGCAAGGAGAATGTGATAGAGAAAAAAAAAACCATGAAAAATTATCACCATTAAAAATAGGGAAATTTACATACATACCACCACACAATTCTTATTTATGTACTTATCTAACACCTAAACATTCATTATTATATGCATACCATTCAAATCTTTATCATCACATAAAAAGTACCACTATCACTATCTTTTCAAAAGTAAAATAAACATTTTAATACATAGGTTTATGACACCAAGGTGTTAAAGTGAGTGTAAATGTCAAACTTTAGTGTTAGATACGTAAATTCATAGTAAATCACTATCTTTTCAAAAGTAAAATAAACATTTTAATGCATAGGTTTATGAGACCAAGGTGTTAAAGTGAGTGTAAATGTCGAACTTTAGTGTTAGATACGTAAATTCATAGTAAGTATGTAACTTTCCCTTAAAAAATATTGGCATTCAAAATGCTTTTATGATATGGTTGCATAAAACGTTGCATAATCATAAACCAATATCTATATTCCTTTATCAGCAACCCAGTTCCAGTGATGAATGGTAGATTGGGTAGAAGGCACAGTTTGAGTATTAGGGATTATTGATATTCGACCTTAATACCTCATCAGGAAAAATGCTAAACACAAAACCAAGATGAAGGAAACCTTCATATTTCACAACAGGCAGATGCCATTTATATCTTTGTATGTGTGTGTATTTAGACGTACACGTTAACAAATATGCATATTCTTATGCCTGTGCATGAGAAAAATTGTATAAGTCGGCCAATTAAGGCCAATTAAGCCCTATTCATCAATGATAACTTTAACTCGAGGGATGTTTGGGATCACTTTTGATAATTTTTTAGTTGAGACTTCATCTGAGAATGCATTTGAACTCCGTTCAGTTGCTGTAAACGCTGACATGAGAATTCTTTTTCGTTTGCTTTATTTCACCAAAACGGCATCTTTTGCCATTTTTGAACTCAGGCTTCATCGCCTATTCAGCCACGCGACTTCAAATGAAGTATTAAAATAAAGCATGCTTGGCATGTTATAACATGTTTAGTTATTTTAAAAACATAGAAAATAACTTTTACATGTTTGTGTGTTTTTAATAATAAGTTAATTGGGTTTTTTAAAACAAAAAATAAAAACATGCAAAAATACATTAAATAAACATGCCTTTAAAATGAAAGCAAAACAAAAGTGATCCCAAAAAAGCCCTTAGTTCAATTGCTTGACTCCGTTATTTGAAGTGCTTTTGACCTCCATCTATAACCCCACATTGTCCTCTGCACAAATCTCCTCTCTCAATAATCTTTGAAAACTTGAAAATATATATAAAGAGAAATTTGGCTGCAGACGACTCTCCCTCCGAAAGCATGTGATGAGGCATGGACTATATATTATTATCCATTAACTACTGAACATAATGAAAATCTAATGCTGAAGACGGAATCGTGGTTGCAAACCTGGCTAAACAAGAGATGTAACACTAATGAAGACATATATTTAGAGTGAACTTGAATTGTAGCGAATGATGACATCAACTGAAGGGTGTACTTTTTAAATCTTCATTGAACATTATTTTAGATATTCTCCATCAAACATCATATTGATGGATCCATTGAATGGCACAAGGCAAGGTTGATGGCCGAGGGGCTGCACACAAACTTATCGAGTATAAAACTACAAGACATTTTCCCCACTAACAATATAAAACACTCTGATTATGCTAGGATATAAATTTAAATTGGCCTTTACACTAATTTGGTATGAAAAAAGCTTTTCTTTAGAGATAACCTAAGGATAAGGTATACATCTATACCTGAGTTGTGTCATTCTCTATGACCAAAAAAGTGCGCAAACTACGACAGCCTTTATATGAACTAAAACAGTCACCACAGACATGGTTTGACCGATTTAGCATGGCTATAAAATGATATGGGTTTCAACAAAATAACTTGGTTCACACTCCTCCTAAAATGGATACGAGGAAAGGTAATTGGCTTGATTAGTTAAGTAGATGAAATGACCATTATAAAAAACATTTGTTAGCTTAGAAACTAACTAGCTATTAAATTTGAGACAAACATGAGAGGCCTAAAGTCACTATTAGTGTTGAAACGATCATATCAAAATGAAGCATCATCCAGTCACAAAAAATAAAATAAAAATGTCTAAGACTTAATAGTTGAAGTTGAGATGCTTAATTATAAGCCTATCGACGCTGGAAGTCCTTAAAACTATAGTCTGGAATAACTCATACAACCTTAACATACGAGTCATTTACTAATGTTTTCCTATTGTAAGAAGAGCATTGTTTTACCACATTGTGGTTGTCTAAAAATTTTGTGCATATGCTTTCAATTCAAGAAGCTCAGAAATCGGCACCTACAATAAGATCATAGTTTCTGTATACCTGAAACATGTCCGGAGACTTCACAAACTCAATTATAGCTCGGACAGCTTCCTCTTTTTCCCCATTCATTGCAAGAGCTTCCTCAGTAGAAAAGGTAGTTAAGTACTTAGACAGGAAGGCAAAGGATTCTTTACACATACTGCATAAAAGAATAAACACATAATCTAATGTTAAAAAGCATACAAAAAGTAGCAAACTAAAATCAAATTTGTCAAACTTACCTTTTATTATCCTTCAAAATGTTTGAGATGGCCAAAAAAAGATCTCTCTGATCCTCTTTTCCAATATTCCATTCTTGTAGAAAACTATCGATCAACTTAAATGAAGGAATGATGCTCTCAGTCACCTTTCCATTGGCTGCCAAATTTAAGGCTCTTGTGTAAACAAAGAACCTGCTGTAAGGGTCCTCTAATAGATTGTACAGATTGAACAAACTGTTTGCAAATGTTGCGCATTTGTAAATAAAGAATTCTGGTACGAGTATTTTAACAAAAAGCTATAGTTTTTCCTCTTACATCTTCAAGCATAAAGCAGGTTTGTCATTTGGTTGCTGGATAATCTTAGTTGAAATAAGTTTCGCAATCTCCAATGCTTCCTCTGGACTATCAGCTCTTGTTGCGAGGGTACATATGACAGTAAAGATGCACTCAAAGTCTGATAAAAGTTACAAAAATGCCTCAATAGTTTTACACAATAAATATTGAAAGACGAAACCAGATATATGGTTATGTTCTTTAATAGATAAGAAAATCATGGCAAGGAAAATTTCAGATTCATAAATCAACACCTCACTATTGCGCTCACATTAGAAGCATCACATGGTGTCAACTCTATGTTATATGACCATAAGAGTGATGAAGTTATAAGACTAAAAGGAATCAATCAATAGTTTAAGAAAATAAAGAAAAATTTTCACACATACCACTCAATTCTTATGTATTTACATATCTAACACCTAAACTTCAATGTTTACATATACATCACCCTATCTATGCATGAGGTGTATTTCACTTTTAAGATGTTAGAATAGAGTGTGATGTAAACTATTTAAATGGTATGAATGTAAGAAATAAAGTCTAGGTGTTAGATACATAAATACATAAAAATTGGATTAGGAATACATAATGTGCTTGAAATCCTTACGTTTAGAGCTGTAATGACAAGATCACAAAACATGCATATTATGCCACAGATTATGTGCATTCTGCAAATTACATGCTTGAAACCCATAAGAACGTCATGCAATTAGAACCAAAATACTGGGCCTCATTAGTAGAAATTGACCATACCATATAAGGGAAATTTACACACCTAGCACACAATTATTATGTATTTACATATCTCACAAAAAACTTTCATATTTACATACCTAGCACTTTGGTGCTTTAAACCTATGCATGAAAAGGTGTTTTGCTTTTAAGATTTTAGTGATATGTGTATAATATGAAAGTTTGGGTGTGATGTATGCAAATACATTAGAATTTTGTGTTATGCATGCAAAAGCCCCAAAATAATAAAAGTGAGGACTCAAAAAAATTGGACCTTTCTCAGAGACTCTTGAAGTTATCAGATCAGCTGAAGTAAGCATGAGAGACACCAGCTCCACCCACCTACCCATCACCAGGCATTCTTGAGCCTCGATGCATAGCCTGGCCACCTGAGGTTCTGCCACCTAATAACTCCAAAAAAAAAAAAAAATGAAAACTTTCTTCAATTACTGGCTAAAATGTACCGAAAATTAGCAAATAAATCCCCAAAACAAATATAGAACCTTGACACATCCTCCAATCCAAGATAGAACTATAGTAGCGCTTAACTGAAAGATTCCTCTAATTAACAGATAACTAATGAGCTAATCAAATCAATTAAGCAATCAACAATAACAAAAATGCCTATCGAACGTCTCAAACAAGTTTATGAGGAAAACCCACTACCATCTCAACATAAACTTCTTAGCCAAAAAAATCGCATCTGTTAAGAGACAATCAATCTTCATTTGACAAAACCTTGGCATATTAGCAGACCAATGCAGCGTGCAAACTAAAATCGATGACAAAGAAGGAGAAGAATCGCAACCTCGGGACCTGCGTCGGCCCATGCAAGCTCCGACGTCAGTCGCACCACAGCGATTACAGGATCCTCCTCCGATGTCGGCACTATCGTCGTCATCGAGGCAGAACTGAGAGGAAAGCGAAAGAAACTGAAACTCTAGATGGATTTTGGGAGAGGGGGCGCAATGGTGTTCCAAAACCCTAACAGGCCTCTGATAGACTTGGGAATTTTTTAAATCAACCCTCCAGATATTAAATATTAACAAACTAACTCTCAAACAAAATTTATTGTTTCAGCTGGTTAATTTTTATTAATTGATTTGTTAATTTTTTTTTATTTTTAGGTAATTTAAATATTGTATTTAATATTTTGACTTTTGGGTGGTTGGTAATGTAATTTTTTTTTAATTAATTTAATTGTGGAAATGTAAAGTGATAAAAGTGTTACATACTTAAATGCTATAAAATTTTGGGGCATGTATCTAAATTCCTCTATTTTTTTAATATAATATTCAAATTTTTCATATTATATAAAATGTATTATTAATTTTTTTAAATGTAATTAATTTTATTATAGATATAATACTATAATATTATTATGAATATAAATATCAAATTTTATGTATTAATGTTCAGATACATACAAAATTTTAAAATAACTAATTATGAAATATATAATTTATAAATTTAAAGAGATGATCATTAAGGTACGAACATTATACTCCATCAATTTTGACCCAAGTCGATTTGATAGGAAGTCATTGAAGACTTCCAAACATTTTTGATAGATATGACAGATAGAGATGGGTTGAACTGAATATTTGTTATGAATGACATTGAAAGTTATGTGCAATACGAGACTTGATGCGTCATTAACAAATGTTTATTGTTAACATGAGTTTCGATATCTGACACGAATCTCAAAGTAATTTTTTAATAATAAATGTTTAAACTTTAATTAAAAATCATCATGAACTCCAATTTCGGTAAACTTACAAAAAACTGACTGACTCGATGAGACGAATGCAATAGCACAAACATTGACCCAATCCAAGTCAAATCAAGTCGTTAAACTATTTTTTTTCTGTAACTTTGAGGTGCTCAATTGGAAAGTAAAACATATGGCAAATCTAACAGTTTTATGATCAATCGCTATATCTCGATGAGACAAATCCAATGCCCTGAATATCACTTAATTTTGAGTTTGATGGACTGGGCCAGATTTCTTATAGAAACACTCATATATCTACAAAATATCGTCCAATCAAGAGAACCTCTCTTGAGAGTTTGATGGACTGGTCCAAATTTCTTCTTTCTTTGCATAGATGTCTCCCCCAGACTATATAAATAGAGTCTTACCCCCTCCTTGAGAGGGGACGACCTCAAGCCAGAATAAGACTAAAACTTGGAGAAGTAGCTAAGGTTCAACATCACTCTACACTGAAGGTTGGCCAAATACCCCCTGCTTCCGCAGCAGCATACACTATCAACCACCACAAGCCAATCATCGTTGGCCACCTTTTACTAATTATAGCAAAGTTCTGTGTAGAGTCAAAACTTGCATTCTGGAGCAACAAAACACCATGAAAAATAATAATCGACGTCATGGAGTTACGAAGCATCTTATGGAGCAGTGCATCATTCTAAAAGTCATGTCCACCATAGAGCTGGCTTACAGAAGCTCATCAACTACCTCACACTGTGATCACTCCCTAGTATAGGGCAATGAGTTTTTCTCTGCACGACTGTTGTAACTTAACAATATATATAACTCTTTCATGCCTGTGTGATAATAACATATATATGTAATCACCAACTCATGACAGATCATTTCAACTGGGATAGGTTACGTCTTTTTCTCTTTCCAAGTTTTCCAAATAAAAACTTATTATATATATATTTGTCACTTTTATTATATGGATGTGTGTGTTGGATTCTCGTGTATTGCTGAGGCGATAATTCATTACTCAATCGTCACGAAATCTCTTACATGCATCATTTTTGCACCATCTATGGGTAGAAAATTATGTTCAACATAGTCTTCAAGTTTGAGACATCGAGCCCCTACTTTATTTTCCAATAATATATACCATCCAACTGGCTAAGGAACCATCTTTGCGCCCTTGAAAATCATTTTCTGCATTATTTGATGTGGGGGAAACATTTGCTACAATCTCGGAAGGTTGTTCACGTTAACATTCAGGACACGATTGTGATGAGGTAATTTTCTTTCATCTTACTCAAATATAAAAGTCTATGAAAACTACTTTCAGGTTGGAGGCAATCTTCACGTAGTCTCAAAAGATCATTCATGTTATCTCGGGTATGATTGTGGTTGGGTGGTCCCATATGTCTCACTCATACATCAATTTTTGAGAACTGCTTTTAGACTAGGGGAACCTTTACTGCAAAGAATGCTTCATCAACACCCTTCATTACATTGGAGTTTCTCTTCAATTGGATCATAAAGTTGATTTCTTCAAGTTTTGATATATGGGTTACTTTACAAGCTTATGTGGAAAACACCCCAATTGAGGATAGCAAATTCATAAGCAACGACTAGCAGATTGTCAAACATCGTTTGTAAGTAAGGATGCAGCCATATTTTAAAGAAAAATTACGATTAATTACGACCAACATCTCTATTTCGAGAAATGCATAACATTTTTGACACCATATATTATGCTTAATCGGTCACAAGGAGACTCGATTTGACCTCTTCCATCACATGTCACAGTTTTCAACCAAAGTCTTAACTAACAACCTCATATAGGTCAAAATTTATTGGTGGATTCCTATCGACTTCTTCTATTACAACTATAGGTATCAAGCGGGCGCTTCGATTAACAACCTATAAAAGGTCAAACATTCAAACAATGTGGTGCCCTATTGTTCCCATGCGGCGCCTACACACTGCAAGATAGCACCTAGGCACCCATACCCGCAGCCTAGGTGCTAGGTGCAGAATTTTGCTTTGGAAGAGAAAATTCAAAATTTGATCCACTGTAAAATAATTGAACCAACAAACCACAATAGAAATTGCATAAATCACACTAAAAATAAGTACTGTGACATAAAATAAACACTTATACACTTAGGTTGCTTATTTTAATATCCTCAACCTTACAATGTCAATTTTATCATTCATGACAGAAAAGGTTTCCACCCATACCCCTAAAAGATGATCCCAAGAGACAAGTCTCGATGAAAAAATAATATTGGCTTTATTTCTCACTAGAAAGTCCTCATTAGGGAAATTCAGAGACAGGGTCTCCACCCATGCTTCTAGAAGTCGAGCCGAAGAGGAAGAATTGAAGGGAAACTTTGTTACCTCTAGAAGACAAATCTGGAAGGTAAGTCTCGAGTGGAAGCTAATATTGAATACACTCCACACAAAGAAAATCTCTTAAGGATGAGCGATAGATAAAGTCTTCACCCATAACTCTGGAATACGAGCCAGGAGACAAGTCTCTATGAGAAACTAGTAGTGAATACTTTGTTTGCTAGAAAGGCTCCACTGGAGCAAGCGGTTGACATGGTCTACACTAAAAAATCTTAGAAAATTACAAGCCTTAGAATGTGCAAATACATCAAAAGCCTTAGAATACACAAACCGCAGAAGGCGCGAGGCTCAAAAGATACATGTGTATTTTGTATACAAAATACATATGCTAACTTTGATTGTAGACTCTTGCATATTTTAAGCCAAAAATTATTGAATGGTTGTAAGCCTTAGAAGAGTCTTATGTTACTAAGCTTCTACTAGGGGGCAACACTCAAATTGGACTGTTTGATTCAAGACTTTCAACTTTTTTTTTATCATCTTTGAGGAACAAGTTGCACTGAATCAATTTCTCTCACTTCAAGCAAAAAGGAGCTACGCCGAATATGCTCAGAGTTGTATAAAAAATACAATATTAAAACATTGAGCGAAAAAATATGTTCAGTCAAATATACTGCCTTCACACATAAATGTCACATCAGATGACTGAAAGACTATAAAAACCAACACAGACTGATACAAAGACAAAACAAGTCAATAGAAGGAAATACACTAATCTGCCATAACATCATTCCCATTATTAGAAAGTTCATAATTTTAAAATCCTTGTTTGAAAAGCCTATAAAGTCTTTGTACTTTGATCGATGAGTAATATTTATTATGCTTGCTAAATGTTCGGTTACTTTTTGAAGATTTCATCTTCCATTCCCTCGAAGGGAGGGTCAGATTATCTTCAAATGATGTCAGCATTGTCTTCTAAAAATTTCGATACATTCGTAGTATTTCAGAGGATTGAGATTCTCCAGATATTGACATCTTAACAACACAAAAAATCTCCTTTGAAAAGTGTGACATTATAATGAAAAATCTCATCAATAATGTGTGATAACAATGTGAAAAATCTCATTTAGAAATCATGATAAAATCACATAAAATCTCTTATAAAAGGTGCCACGGTAGTGTGAAAATCTCCTCAAAAAAATGTGAAAACAATTACAAATATCATTTCCCGAAAGCATGATGACAGCATAAAAAATCTCATCCATAAAGTATTATGATAGTACAAAAATTCTCATACAAAAACGTGACAACAGTGTGAAAAATTTTCTTTATAGAACACGAGCATAACACAAAAAATCTCATATGAAAAATATAATAATAACATGAAAAACCTCATATGAAAAGTGATGCAATAGCATGGAAAATTTCTTATTGAAATTGCAATGATAATGCAAAAAAAATTTCCTGTAAAAATCATGATAATGGTGTGAAAATCTTCTATAGCAAGCACGATGGCAATGCAAAAAAAAACCAGCTTTGAAAAGTGCAACAACATATAAAATATTATATAAAAAGCACAACATTATTGCAATACGAAGCTCTGTTGATCGTACAAACGGGACAGGAGACTCCACCCTTTTTCTTCTGGGAGCCCGATTGATCGCACGAACAGGTCGGGGAACTACACTTTTTTTATTTTGGCAACCCCGTTGATCGCACCAAATGACTGGAGGACTTAACCATTTTTTTCTGTGAGCTTAGTTGGTTACATGATAATAGGTTAGGAGGCTCCAACTTTTTTTCTTCCATTATCTTTATTGATCACACCAAAATAGGATAGTATACTATTTTTTTTTTTCTTTTAGAGGCCATGTCGATCATACAAACATGTCGGGTGACTCCACTTTTTCTTTTCTTTTGGAAGCCTACTTGATTATACAAACATGTCGAGCGACTCCACTTTTTTTTTCTTTTGGAAGCCCCGTTGATTGCACAAACAGGCCGGAATGACTCTACATTGTTTTATTTTGGGAGCTCTGTCGTTCACATAAAAAAGCCAGTGGGACTCTACATTTTTCCTCCTCTTCCTTGACCATTTATAGGCTTAAAAAAAAATGAAAAATAAAACTAAAAATTGTCCAATTTTGTTTTGGCCCATAGATTGCATAAGTGGCCGACTGTTATCCATCGAATTGCTCCCCTCTTTCGCAATATGATCCCACATACCCTGGATCGCTCCCACCTTCTACAATATGATCTTACATACCCAGGATTGCTACCATGATAACCCGTTGTCCATGACAGCAAATTGCTCACGTGGCCCTTCGTCGTCCACTGGATCGCTCTCGCCTCCCGTTGTCCGATCCCACATCCTCAAATTGTTGGCATGACAACTCGCCGTCTATATCTTACAATCACCGTCGCCACCAACCACTTCTGGTAGCCTCCACATTCGTCTTTGCTGTCGGGCGTTGGCCGCTGCCACTTTGGCCACCGCCCGCCAGTGCCCTCTACCGCTGATCCCGATCATCAGCCTTGTCCTCTAGTCACCATCTCTGTCACTGTCTCCCCTGCTTAGGCCTCAGACCACCACCAACCTCCAACTCAGGTAGAAAAAATAATTCAATTTTTTGAATGTCAATGGATTCAAACCATTGATCTCACACAAGAGAAACCAACCAGCGGTAAACTGGACTAAAAAACTTTCATTATATAAATATATACTAGATCTATGTATATGTAATTCTTGAGGTTAACCACTCCCAAAAATATCAAGAAATTTTTATCTTTTGACACATGTCTCGAGACATAAAATGAATCTCAGAGCAAAATTTTAAGCAAAAAATGTTCAAGCTTAAATTAAAAATATCTATAACTCTAATGACAATAAACTTATAATTAAACTGATCGGAACGAGGAGACAAATGCATTGACACCAATATTGACCAAATTTGATTCAAATCAAGTCAAGATCAAGACATTGAACCATTTTTTAAACTTTTGGAGCCCAATTGAAATATTAAACATATTTCAAATATGAAAAGCTTATGGTCAAATTGAGTTTCTCAATAAGAAAAATGCAATGAGCATACGGTTACTTAATTCTGACATCATTAAGATATTTAAATATCAACATAATGTCACTCGATTAAGGGTACCTCTTCATGTCTTCCGATAGAGTGGTATAGGTTTCTTTCTTATTTACAAAAATGTCTCTCACATACTCTATAATAAAACCCCACCCTCTTTAATAAGGGACCAAGACCTTAAGTCAGAAGAAGATTGAAGTTTAGAGGCGTTGAAGTCCAACATTCTTTTTGTAGCAAATATTCGACAGACACCTCTCGTTTCTACAACCGTTTGCTGCCACCAACCACTACCAGCCGATCACCATTGATCGACCTCTACTCGTTGCAGCAAAACTACTTGTGAAGTCAAGTCTTGCGTTGTGGTGCGACAAATCACAAGACAAAGTAACAATCGATATCACAGAGTCACGAAGCATCTTACAGAGCAGTGCATCATCCCATGCGTTCGTGACAACCTCATTCATAAAGCATCAAGATATGAATGTCACTCCTCATTGCGACCACTCCCTACTGCGGTGCAACGTGCTCTTATGCGCATAAATATTATAATTTGTGAGACTGCATAAATTTTTTTCCCCGCTCGTGGGATAAGGGTCTGTACGAATAATCACCAACTCATAGTGAATCATTTCAATTTGGCTAGACCATGTGATTTTTTGTCTTTTCAAATATTCAACGTAAGAAAATATAGTGTTTCTACGTGTCACTTTTCTTATCGAGTGTTTGCTGAATCATCATGTAATGCTAAGATGATTATTCAACATTCCACCATGACGAATTTTCTAGCACACATCAAGTCTAAATATATCTGCAAACATCGTTATGAGTTCATTCATAAACTTGATTATCTAAACAAAGTTTGAGATAAGGTTAAAGCTCACAATTTCAATTATAGATATATGCTTGAATTGGGACTTAAATATCTTTATTGATAAATGACCGAAAAACATAACTTACAATATTTTCTAATATATGCGACCCAATAGTGTATACATTTTGATTGATTAATGTTGATATTTTGATCAGCATGTAGACTACAACTCTGCAGAAGAAAATGGCCACCAATCTATACCTATAACTTCAAATACAAAAGGCCTCACAAAAATGCCTTATAACAATACTTTAAAAACGATAAAATATTACTTTTGATAAATCAAAATTGTAGTCGACAGTGTGAATCACAACACGCTGCTGGACACATGACGCGGTGCGATCCATGCCGTCGTCTGCACGTTTATAAATAAAAACGATAAAATATTACTTTTGATAAATCAAAATTGCAGTCGACAGTGTGAATCACAACACGTTGCTGGACACATGACGTGGTGCGATCCATGTCGTCGTCTGCACGTTTATAGATACATTGAAATCACTTGAGAGTAGATCTTCATTATAAATGAGATTGAGACCTGCACGAATATGAAATCAAATGTCTTGATGATTTTACTTATCGGGTCTCCACTGTAGAAGAATATATACATACATTTTTTTATATATAAATATGAAGTGTTGAAATTAGTAAGATTTTTGTTTATAGATGACAATTAAATTGACATTTATTTCATTTATTAATACACTCTCTTTTTATATCAATGTGTGTCTATAAATACTCTATAGACCCACTAATACAATATCAAGTCTTCTCCCATATTCTCCTCTCCCCTTTTATATTTATGATTTTTTTTAAATTTAAAAATTATGTAATAATTAATTATTTAATTTTAAATTAAATAACAAATCAACTAATCTATAACGGGAAACGCACAAACCGGAAAACTCGTTTCCCGGAGCTTCAGCGAATAACTAGGTCACGACTCTGACCACCATTACTATCGGTAGTTTTTAATCAGCAAAGCTTATCGAATTCGGTCATCTGAAGTTCGAACCCTAAAAAAAATCCTAGTTTGGATTCGAAGGGCTGAGAGCAGAAGGAGGAATGACAAAGCGGGCATTCGCGGAGGTCTCAGGTGCTTTTCATGGCTATTGATAGCTATTAGGGTTTGGGACTCTCGCATCTTTGATTTTTATTAATTTTTTTCTTCATATACGTGGCTTGCTTTTTCCACGTTTGTTGAATCGCCACAGTTGATCTCTGGGAATTTGATTGTATTATGTTTTCTGAATTGTTTGTATTTTTTTTGTTTGAATCGATGAAGATGGTGCTGGATGTGTATATATTGGTCGAGATGGTGTTTATGTGGTTTATTTGCTAGGGTTTGTGAAGAAGAGCTGAAAATAATGTTTTGAGAATTTACTGTGTTTTGTTACGTTTACCGCTTGAAGCTTGAGTTTGTTGCTGATCTCTTTTCTATTTAACGTTCAATGTGGAGCATTGGATTGGGTTTGTTTAGCTATAAGTATGGTTTGTTTGAGTAGGACTTATGGAAGTTTGCAAATCTATATTAAGTAAAATCCTGGTTTTGTTGATTATTGAATGTTATTTTAAATGCTGTTAAATTGTAGTAAGGATTTCACAGATATTCTTAAGGTTTAGAATTTGAATGAAAGGGAAGGAGATGCATAATGAGGAGAAGTTGAATATATCTTAAATGTTGCTCATAACTTGATTCATGAAATTCAGGATTTAGTAAAACAGGAGGAAATAGGATTGAAGAAGATGCATGATATGATTTACAATACATATACGACTTCTCCTCATTATGCATACTCTTCCCAGTCATTAAAATTCTAAGTTTTAAGAATATATGTGAAATATTTACTACATTTTAACAACATTTAAATTGATTTTCAATAATTAACACCACCAGTGTTTTACTAAGTATAGATTTACAAAATTTCATAAGTTCTTCTCGAATAATTCATACTTATGTTAATCTTTTCCCTTCTCTCCATTTATGAACTAAATAGAAACCATTAGATACCATAAATTTTTGTTTTAAAATAGTGGGGAACAGTGAAATCCAAATAGACTACATAGCAAAACTACATAAATTCTCAAAAAAATTCTGGTCAATTTTGTCCTACTAATCACGTAATTCCAAGAAGGCATGGCTATTGTGCTCTTTCTTCACAAAACCAAGCCAATAAACTATGTAAACCACCATCTCAAACAATATAGACTCATAGAGTACCACCTTCCTGGAGGGGGGTAGAGGCTGGGGCGCCGCGGGGTGGGGGGGGGGGGGGGGGAACAGCAAAATGCAAACAATTCAGAATAAATAATGCAATTGAAATCCCAAAGAACAGTTGCGGCGATTCAATAAATGTGGAAAAAGTAAGCCATAGATTTGAAGGAAAAAAATAATAAAATTCAAAGACGTGAGAATCCTAAACTAAAATGGGATAAATAACTAGACGTGGTTTCCTTCTACAACTATTGGAGATAAATAACTTAAACTTATCCCTTCTCTCCATTTATGAGCTAGATAGAAACCATGGGATACTATAAAATTTTTGCTTTAAAATAGTTTGGAGCAGCGAAATCCAAATAGCAATTTTTACATATGAAATAATCTCAAAAACTAAAATGTTCATTGGAGAAGTTCATATTAAACCTTACAATGGTGTACTTTTTTTTTAATTTCGCACAGGGCATCACGTAGAGCAATGGAGATCAAAAAGAAAAGAGGTAGAACTTGACGAAGCTAGTGTGGAGAATAATGGTTTCGTTGCATTCTTAAATGGTAAGTGGAAGAAAACCAATGAAGAATTCATTAACAATAGTTAGGGAGGTCCTGTTTGAAATGGATTTAACCAATGAACTTTCTGTGGGTAGTAACTTGATGTTATTGGCTGATAAAGAAGGTGACGCAGAAGCTCAGGCTGTAGTAGATTCTGCCGGAAAGATTGCTGAGGCTTCTACAACAGGATCGTATTCGTCCCAGAAGGAATTTAGCTATTCAGATGCGTTACTTAGCAACAAGGCTGATGCTTTGGCAGGCAGTTCGAGAAGCTGTTCTGAACAAAGTTTAGTTTTTTCAGCAACGACGCCTTACTTGGTACCAAATAAGGAATCTCAAAGATCCAACTTTTTCCAATCTGGCGAAGCTCTCTTATCTCAAGTTGATCAAGCTTTCCCTTCTTCTGATACTTCATCAGAAGCTACACATTCTGCTACAGTGAATAGATATCTTTCATTAGATGAGAAAGATAATAATGCATTCAAAGAAAGTATTTCCCATGAAGAGCTTGAAAATCAGAATGACTGTAAGAGCACTTTGAAGCTACAAAACACTTCTCTGAAAAGGAAAAAAGATAGTATGCCTGATTTTACTGAAAATGGTTCAGAGAAAAAGGTCCGTCTAGATTTTTCTTCGAGCAAAAATTTGGTTGATGTAAATAATGGTTTGACAGAGCCTGGTGGTGAATTTTCAGAAATTCGAAATAACATCAATGGCGAGACTGATTCACAATTTTACATAAATGAAGGGATTTTAAGTAAAGCTATTGCGGCGGAAAATGATATTGTTGACGGGACGTCAAACTACCCCTCACACTCCACCAAAGTTGCCACTGAACATAAGATTGATTCAACACCCCCAGTAACTGAATGTCGCCATAACGAAAACTCCGAAATGGCGTATCAAAAAACAATTAAAGAGACAGAAGAAAATCTTGCCGGACGCTCTGTTTCTTCAACCATTTCTATCGAAATTAACCAGAAAGTTTTATATGCTAATTTCAAAGCGGAGTTGAGCTTGCCTCCATCACCAATCACGGGAGTCGTAGATTGGGTTGTAGGCAAATCTTATGGAGACAATAACCGTTTGGATTCACTTAATGAGGAAGAGACTACTTTCTCGTTTCAGACTTCGAACAAAACGAAAGAGGTCCCTAAGTGCGAAATTGGTTTCGATTACTCTCAAAATCTGTCTGAGCACCCTTTGAAGTTCATGTCAGCGGGCATTAATGTAGATAAGGCAACACAGGGAAAAGAAAGAATTGCTTCTTCTTTTAGCTTTGCTTCAGAGGAGAAGGAGAAAGAAGTTCAGGAAATTGGCTCGATGCCACCGGAAAGATTGGTGACAGGCGGAGCGAGAAAAAAGCTTCTTGTTCTTGATCTGAATGGATTACTTTGTGATATAGTCAATGATTATTATAGTAATTATAGAGTTGAGAAGAAGATTGGGGGGAAACCAAGTACGCTAAACTTTGCAAGTTTAAATTTTTATGAGATAAAACTCTATATACTAACTTTGATTTGTTTTATTTACCTCTTGCTAATCTGTTGTTTTTATTGCCAGTTTTTAAAAGGCCATTTTGTGACGATTTTCTGAAGTTCTGCTTTGACAATTTTCACATAGGGATTTGGTCCTCAAGGAGGAAGTAAGGATTCCATTGATTTTTAAATTTCTCTAATTTTTGTTGTCTTTGATTTCTTATGATGTTTAATGACAAAGATTGCTTTATTCTCTGTAGATATAATGTTGACAGTGCTCTCGACTACCTTATGGGGGAGTATAAACATAAGCTGCTATTCTGTTGGGTACGTACTCCAAACATTTCCAGTTAGGGAAATTTACATACATACCACATAATTCTTATGTATTTGCATATTCAACACTTAAAGTTTAATATTTATATTTATAACACCTTAGTGCTATGATCTTATTCATTAAAAGGTGTATTTCGCTTTCAAAAATATGGTTAAGGTGGTATTTTTCATGTGGTATTAAAAATTTAAGTGAATTCTACCTGACTATGAAATTTTTAGGTGTTAGTCTATTAGATATGTAAATACGTAAGAATTGTATGGTTTTTATATAAATTCCCTTTTTAGTTATTTTATGTAAGCACTTATAGTTTTATTTTGTACTGTAGCTGTTACTTTGTCTCTCTATATTACTTGTGAACAATAAATTGTGTTTTGCTTATCATAATGGAGATAAAACTATCTGCTTAAAGCTTCAATCCAGCACGTATGAATTATTATGAAGAAAATCATATTAAGTGAAGTTTATTCTAGAAATATAAGAACAAGAAAGAGTAGCTTTACTGGGCAGAGCGGTGGAGCAAAGAAATTGAAATCGGAGTCCACCCATAGAGATCTTATAATTTCAATTCATCAATTAACTGATCCTAAATAAATCATGCCCAAACCTATTATTATTCAAAAAATAATTCATTATAATTTCAAATAAAATAATGTATAAATCCTAATTTAAATTAACTAATTGAAACAAATTCTAGAAGAACTTAAAGTCTAGTTTCTTGTGCTGTATCATCAACCTCGAATATGAAATCATGTTTTGATACTGGTGTTCTTGATTTTGCAAAGATATCAGGGAGTCTTCTGTAATTTCATTTTTTTTCCATAAAATTCTATGTTAAATTTATTTTTTCAGTGTTAATAGTTAGTACGGCATGCATTTTATATTGTTGTATTATATTCAGCAGATTAATGCCATCTTCCATTGTTCTTTTCATTTCAGTGGTATGACTGATGATGATGATAATGGTGGTTTTCTTAGCAGTTTTTAAATAAGGAATTATACTTTTTAGACTTCTAAGATAAATTATGAAAATATTTGGAAGATTTACATGTTGAATTCTTATGTATTTGTGGTTTTCTTAGCAGTTTTTAAATAAGGAATTATACCTTTTAGACTTCTAAGATAAATTATCAAAATATTTGGAAGATTTACATGCTGAATTCTTATGTATTTACATAGCTAACATATAAACTTCTATTTTTACATCCATGCCACGTTACTTATGCGTGAAAGTCTGTATTTCACTTCTTAAAAGTTAAAATGGTGGCATTTTTGAAGTGATATGAAAGATTTGGGTGGTATAAATGCATAAAGTTTAAATGTTAGATATGTATATACATAAGAATTGGGCGGTATATATGTAAATGCCCCTAAATATTTTCAGTGTAATTGGTTAGTTTATTATTCTAAATATTTGTCATTA